TCCACCCCCCCCCCCCCCCCCCCAACCCTGCTCGGGGATGAGTGCCATCCCCAAGGCCGGGTGGCAAAGCCATTGTCACCCTCAGGAGCCAATTTCAACCACAGAGCCCAGGCCCCACGGAGAACAATGGGTCGCCCGGGCTCCGCACCGCCCTGTCCACCCCCCTTGGAATAAATCACCTCACTGTCATCCTGAACCATCTCGGCCTTTGCCGTGACAATAAGCTGCTAGGATTGGAAGAATAGCTAATACCACCGCGGGGCCTTGCATTGGGGATTTCGCATCGCCTTAGGGAAAGGGAAGGGAAAACACCCCCACATGCACACACAAGCACACACATTTGCCTGAAATGCAAGAACTGGTCAAATGGAGAAGCAAACATTACCTCCCCAGATGAAATAAAAGTGGGTGAAAGTGGCAGAAGAAGGGGGTGGGGGCTGGAAATCAGTTTCCACTGATTACAGAATTGGCATCTAGGCTAATGACGTCTAAAGTTGTAAGAGGATCCTCTCCTCTGAAGGAATTAAGTGACAGATCGGAGGAGAGGTATATTAAAATGCTGCCTCCTCTTTTTAGCAGAAGTGCTAAGGGTGACCTCATAAATCATTAGCTATAGGTTATCAAATTCTCTGCAGCTCTGCTTCCCCCCTCTATTAAATTAAATGTTTGCAGCCTATTGGATAATACATTATTTGGAGGTCTAATTCTGTTATCAATAAGTACAGTTCGAAATGATTGCTAATTAAGCATGACATTAGCACACTGGCTATTTACAAAGCCAGAAAAAGGCCATTGTTTCCCCGGGAAGGACCTGATGCAACGTAATGGCAACAACTGTTTGTGATCAAAGTTCCTGTTCCTGGGTTTCTCCCTGAAAATGGAATTAGAACATGCCAATAAATTTATTAAGGCTCACAGTGCTCCCACTCCGGCCCATTTACTTGCAGGAGAGGGGAGGGAGTCTGATGGGATCTGGATGTGATTTTTGTTAAAATGCCATCCCAAATTACAGGATCAAATATTACAACAATATATCCGCTGACAGTTTAATGATTACAGTTTCATGTTGCCAGGATAATGTTCAGATGAACTTACCTATTTCTTTTTTTTTTTTTTTAATTTGGTCATTTTGAAACCTTTTTTCTTTTTTCTTTCTTTGGTAGATTATACTTCAGGCAAATAGAGAATTTATTGCAGCTCTCATCTGGCTAAATTAACCACAGAAAATTGCTAGTTTCTGGTTAGCAGTTTTGGAGTAAACGGGTGCATTTCGTAAAGCCGAGGATTTAGCAAGCAATTTGGATCCTTTAAGAACAGATCGATATTTTTAACTTGAAAGGAAGGAACACGAAGGGAAGATTTAGAATAAACTAATTTGTCCACTGCAAGGGCTTGGGTGGCTAGAAAAGCCTGACCTGAAATATTCTTTTGCAATCCTGTTTGGTTAAACTGGAAGGTGAAGTGTGGGTGGGGGCTCTTTCCAGATATTTACGTACAAATCGTTTGATTTCCCTTTCAAGGAGCTATGAATTATTATCAGTGCTATACATCGTGAAAACCAAAAGGCATCTGGTTTAAATCCTTTCCTTCTGTAAAACTGAATCAGCAGGATGCAGGGATAAAGGATAAAAATTAGAAATAAATGCATCTTCTAAGAGTATTTTTGCATCTTTTAAGACTTTTTATTCGGGTGGACTAATATAGTTCTCTAAGGGGATGTGAGTCAGGAAAAAAATGTCCCCCCCCCCCCTCTGCCTTGTTGCTGCAGAAGTTAACCTTTAATAAAAAGGATTGGTAAATATTTGAGAAAATCAAGTCGATGGTGAAAATTATTTAATCGTAAATATCTCTGTGGGATTTTAAACTTAACAGTCCTCCGTGTATGGAATATATGTAGAAATAACACAAATAAAAGTATTATGCCACACTACATTTACTTTATGGGTTTAGGGTGCATGCATAAAGGGATCATATTTCCCCATATAGTTAAAACACAAGAACTGCAGCAGTAGTCATTTCTGAACATTTCTCAATTTAATTATACTTAAATCCAGAAGCACTTTAGGCAAGTTACAAATGAGAGCATTGAGTATAATAAAACCTGTAATAAAGCAACTTAGTACCATCCACCCGGAATCATTGAGATCAGGCACAATTAACAGGAGCATAAATCCAAGACAGAATGGAAAATGTTAGAATCAGTATTATTGTTGGACAAAGACTAGAGAAGGAAGTAATAGTTTTTTAAATGGTAATGCCTGGGTTTTGTAACGATTGCGAAATCTTCTATCTCAGCAGCACTGGTGTTAATTTGTAAACACAGCCAGACATTATATTGCCTGTCAGTTGTTTTTTTTTTTTTTTTTGAATTAGAAAACATGATTTCATTTTACTTTCTAATCACGTCGTGGCTCTAGCACACACGATCCAGCTGCAAAAGGCACCGCAAGCCCTGACACTGGACAATAGTAAAAGCGGGAGGCACTTTCGGATTGTCCTGCCCTGCCTATAGGGAAAGTGTTGCAAATGCCTTTCCTCTTTCTCGGGCTCCCTCCCTCCTGTGTGTGTGTGCAGGATGATGATGATGATTTTTTTTTCCATTGCTCCCCCTGTTTCTCCCGCTGGCTTCCATTGTTGTTTCCCCGTGCCCTCGCTGCGGCAGGCAGGCGGAGCAGGCTCGCTTCTTGCTAGAATATCTGCAGAA